TCCTCTCCACGAATCTCCACTCCATTTTCCTCGAATCATCTTCGTTTGGTTCGAATCATGGATTGAATTTTTGGACTCGAACCCTAAATCCGAAACCCTTAAGTTCTGTCCAAATCTTTGGTTGCTTGAGGTTCGATAGACTCTAATATAGATGTTCTCAACTGAGAACAATCATATTAGAGCCCATTCGACCTCAAAATTGGTTGGGTTTTGACGGCCAAAGTCCGGTTGTTCCTTGTGTTTCAGGAGGTAATTTCCTTTTCCTTTCGTCTTGTATTTTATTTGCCTCTATTTGATTGTTCTAGTTTGTTTTGTCACAATTTCATTTTACTTTTCTCTCTTTCTTTCCGTTCGTCTCCAAAGGCTTTTTATTCAGCCATTTTTCTTTCTTGTTTGTTCATGATTAATTCTGTTTTGTTATAGAATACCTGTTCGACTCGATTGATATCGTCGAATAATTTGTTTCGTGTTTCTTTGTTTTGTCCGAATATTATGATTCCCCTGTTTCGTGTGATGATTATTCGTTATTGATTATATATGTTGTAGTCAATCAAATAAATGCCGTCGATTAGACACACTCACTAGCATGGACTCAATAATAAAAGTAATGCAAACATGTGCTAAAAGGGAGGGCAGGCTGGAAAGTGAGCATTCTTGAATTAAAGGTCGGTCAGTCTTAGTCTATAAAAGGAAGAAAATCAGTTTAAAGTTAAAGAAAAAAAAGAGAGAGCAACTGTTCCATTGCCTTCATTCTTGAGCTTTGTTTTCTAATTTCTAAACTGAACTTTAGTTCCAGTATCTCTAAAAGGAAACAAAAGCATAAGCTTGAAATAAGCAATCTTGTCCACTACTTGAGGTTTGAAGCTGTTCGATTCATTTGAATACTAGTAGCAAGGCATTTTGATTTGCTCTGTGCCATCCTGAGTTCAACTGTGTTTGCTGGATTCGTTGTTGAATATATTGGTATTTTGTTGGGTTCTGCTTGATTTTCAAACCCTTCTGGCCTTTGAACTTGAATTGGGTTGCTGTTGTTGACTTTGGGTATATCGGATTTCAGTTTTGCTTTTGGTTTGTTTCAAACTATTTTGAGTCATTCATTAGCTTTACTGGTATTCCGTATTTCTGGATTTCTGGGCATCATTTGTGGCTACCCGTACTGTTTGACTGTGAGGTTATTTGCTGGTTATTAGTTTTGAGATTGGCTGGTTGTTCCTGATTAGCTGTTGTTATTGTCGCTGACCTTCCTCTATTTCTTCCTGTTGCATTTCGACATCCAGGTACACAAATCGATACACTGGTTCTTGTAAGCCGAAAGTTTCAAGCATGAACACGAAATGAAGAACTGAAGTTTACATTTTACCTTTGTATCTACTGAAATTTAAGCTGTGTATATTACAGTTAGCTTCATTTGTTTAAAATCATGTAGTAATTTTGCTATGTATAAAAGAATGCAGAACAATAGAAAATGATTAAACTGTTCTGTATGTTGGTTTAAAGAACCAAACATGTGGTAGTAGTCGTTCTATTGGTATTTTATCGTTGTGTCAAAAACATGTTAAATACTCAATAGCTGCCTCATTAAACCAAAGGAAAAGCCTGCTTTAAAAACTGGTAGGAATCTTGCTCAATTAGATAGCAGTAATTTCAGTCCCATTGTAAATGTTAAACATATGCAGAATAATGTAACCAGGCCCTAGAATTAGAGAGAAATGGCCCAGGCCCAATTTCACCTCATACGCGTTGGGCCTGGGCCCACAACTATTAACGGACAGCCCCCCTATTGCGCCATTTTCAAAATTAATGAGCCATATCCGGAGCTTAGTTACAATAACCCTCAAGCATGTAAATAAATTAGGTACTCTTCTTTATTTTAGAGATACATCTAATAGAAAATATAGTCACTTTAGGATTATCCTTTTAAATAAAAAGAGATGAGCCTCCCCAAATAAAATCACAAATTGCGGGCCCTCATAAGTGTATATATTAAAGAACAATTAGACTCCGGGACAAGCCGTTAGAGAATTTCACGGCTCTCCCCGAAATAATAAACGCGCTAGACTCTTTAGGACGTGTTTTAATTAAATCTTACCTTCTTAAACTTGGGCGTGCACTGGTTGCAACCCAAATCCAAATCTCAACGGAGTCGAGGCGTGCCAACAATCACGGGTACACTGGTTGTGGCGTGATTTCAGATACGTGTCCACGACGTTGCAAGTCTTTAAAAATGATAATAAAAGCGGTTTAATACCAACAAAAGCACATAAGTTACAACATGTATTAAAAATCAGATATTTGGCAAATACGATAATTTAAGCGAACGTTCTAGAACCACGGGATTCGGGGGTGCCTACACCTTCTCTCGGGTCAACAAAATTCCTTACTTAGAATTTCTGCTTCGCAGACATCAATTGGAAAGTCGAATATTTTCCTCGAATTGGGATTCAAGATAAACCGGTGACTTGGGACACCAAAAGCCAAACCTTTCCCAAGTGGCGACTCTGAAATAAATTAAATATTCCCATTTCGACTATTGTCACTTAAATTGGAAAAACTCCCTTGCGCATTTATCCCCCGGGGTGGGTGAGCGCAAAAACGAGGTGTGACATACATTGTTTGATCAACAATTCAAATGTCAAAATAGATGAATTTGCATACAAAATGTTCTAAACTAAAATATCTTTGAACATGATGATAGAAAGTTTAACAACGATCAACAACGTTCAAGTAAGGTCTATGTCACTGCTTTCTTCCGCAATCGATGTACCTACAAAAGACAACTAGGAAATAATATTAAAGAATGCACGAGTGAAAAAAGAGTACATGTTACTTCTGCTGTAGGAAACTAAATATCAAGACTGTGCTTCCTGCAGTGCAACAAAAGCTGAATTACTTGCTAAGAAATTGGAAACAATAATACTACATAAAAGCAAGATTGTCCAAAAATTTTCAGCACTGTAAGTTTCAATCAGGATATGGAAAGCTTGAAGTTCAATCTTCAGTCAATTTGCAGCGCAACATAACTTTACACATCTAGTGTACCTGAACAAATTACCTTGATTCAACTGCTACTAATACTGACAAAAGAATGTGCTCGGGAGATAATTGCCATGTGTTCGCTGCCTACCTACTGTTTTGATAACACTAGCAAGATCCAGCTAAGGTAAAGAAACTTGTCTTTTCCACAGAAAAAATCCTATACATGGAGCCACTGTTCCATTGCTCTATGATTTAAGTCAATCTAACACTCAGTCTCTTTCAGAAGCATAACTAAGATAATAAGAATAGCAACAAGTAAACGAGAACCCCGAATTATAAACTTCAACTAGAAATTCAGTCCAAAAAGTACTGATTTTTCAAGAAAATCATAACACTATAATGGATGGAAATTACATCCAGAATCAAAATATTCAACAATCAAAATATACTTTGCATTCTTTCCTTCATTATTACCAATAATTTTACACTTTAACGTGAGAACAACAAAAGAATGTATTTGGGTCCAAAAATTCTAACAAAGACAAAGCAACAGCACGACATGACAATAGGAAATGGTAACGATAACATAGTACGCAGTTCAGAATTGGCATGTATGAAACAAGAGTTACTCCTCTATTTCAAGAGTAATAATCAGAAACTTCTACGCTATCTGACCTTTAGCTAATCAAATTGATCGACCATTGAAACATACCATCTGCTGACTGCTGCTCTAGCTATGGCGAGAGGGAGACTGGTGGCTAGTGGAACTAAGTCGATGGAACTGACGTTAGGGTATGTAGGAATTAAGTGGGAATTTGGGATGAAACCTAAGGCTTAGGTGCGTAACAGAACATTAGTCTAAATGCCTAATAGACTAATTGTACTCTTAGTCTCTTAGACACTAGACAAAGTGAGAGACAGAGTACTGAAAATCTGGAAAGTGAAAAGTAAAAACTAAATTCAAGCAATTAACACAAACTGATCTCAATAAAGAAATCCATTAGTAGAGGATTCAATAATGCCCATTATGATCTCCTCGAACCAACAACTTGAGAACCTAGGAAGGAATTCGAAAATTTCAACTAACCCACTTCCAATTCAATATAAACTTCTCAAAAACTGTAAAAATGGTGTTTTGAAACCAGAAACAACTCAAAATCCCAGATTCAATACATCCAACTGATCCCTTAACAAATTTTTCGGGGTTAAAATTCAACTCAAGCTTTCAGATCGTTCAACAATGGCAATCCAAAATTTTCTGGCGCAAATTCAATTCCAACAAGTATTGGCAGAAATCAAATTAAAAGGATTTCACAACCTTAATAATGACCACTCAAAAAATATCCTTTTTTCCTTTGGGAAATGGATGAATACAGTTACAGAATTTAAAAAAAAAATACTTGGACGATGGATTGGTTGCAATGTTCTTTGTTGAGCAGATGAAGCTTCTCCTAATGAATTATCACCGAATGCTGCTAGAATAATGTTAGCATCAATATCAATTCCTGAACGCTGAAGTCGTGCAAGAACATCTACAACAACTTCTTGACGGATAGTTGCCTTTTGTTCCTCTATTTTTTCCTCCATTCTTTGTATCTTCTCCTCCAATTTTTGTATAGAATTTGAAGTATTTGAAGAGGTTTCAAAATATCCTACTTTCCCCCCTCAGAGAAGTTCTTGTAACCCCCCATCCATACAACCTCAGACGTTCAGGATGTTCTGGCCCCATGACAGATGTAAATGCCTCTACGGACTAATTAACATTTTCTTTTTGTTGTGCTGCAATTTCCTCCATTTCAGCTTACAAAGCAAATTCAAGTAAACAAATAGGAACAAATAATTGATCTCGATATAACATTAATTAAATATAATCGCACAATTTTACTAATTGTATCTTCATCCGATGAGTTGTATGATCGCCCAACTTTTCTTTTCCTTGTAGCAACAAAGACTTCCTTTGGTAATAAAGGATCCGGAGTTGTCTTATCTTTTTCCTAGTTATATGAAAGTGAGTTAGCATTTCTAATGATCTGCCATGAACTAAACAAAAGCTAAAATTGAAATTTTTTGCCACTATTTGATAGTTACACACCAACTTAGAGCGAACTAAAGCAAAACTTCTTTTTCCAGCAGTGTGAGGATTTTTCAACTTTTTCCGATTCTCAATGTTAGTTTTAGACATTTTCTGCAAACAGAAAGAAACATCAAACAATAACAACAAGACAACAACAATGATGAAGAGATAACTTCCATTGCTGAAGAAAAATAAATTCTTTTCCTGGTAAGCATAGGGGTTTGCAGTAATGGTGAACAACAAAATCATATTGCTAAATCTCCTTACAACTAAATTCATAGTGAAGCATTGAGAAACCAGATATTTCAGAAAGTAATTTTTATAAGGATTTTAGTGAAGTCATCAAGAACTTAAAATTCTTCGCCAAATAATCCAACTACTGTGATATCCAAAAGTTCAGTCATAGTGACTCTAGATCCTTTTGGGGGGGAGGG